TCACCCTTCCCTGCCCCCTATGTCATCTTACCTCACCAAAATTTCTCCTCTCTATGCTCCAAGTTTATATAAACAAAAAGTTGTTACATTAAAGTTGAGTTCCTGCTTTGACAGGACTCCCATCCAGGTGTGTTTCTTTGGGCCACGGACACACACCATCCTGTTCAGCTCTGGAGAGACCTGGCGGGACTGGGACCTCTCTCTCCTGTTGCCTGGACCTGCCAGCTTTAAGGAGCTGAGACTGCCTGGCTTTGACACCTATGGTCTGAAAATTACTTCAGTGAGGGTATGGAGAGATTGCTCAGTGGTTAAGAGCACTGGCTGCTCTACCAGAGGGCCCAGGTTCCATTCCGAGCGTCAACATAGAAGTTCACAATGTCTGCAACAACAGTTCCGGGGTATCTGTCCAGGTCTTCTGGCTTCTGCAGACACTGTGCCACTGTACACAAGCAATACACAGACACATTCAGACACAACACTCACACACATAAAATACAATGAAAACATTTTAGTGTGTGCAGGTATTTTACCTGCATGTATGCTTATGCATCACATCTGTGCCTGTTGCCTTCAGAGTTTGGAAGAGGGCACTGGATGCCCTGGGACTGGATTTTCTGATTGTTATAAGGTGCTATGTGGGTGGTGGGACTGGAACTCGGGTCCTCTGGAAGAGCAACCAGTGCGTTTGTTTGCTGAGCCATCTCTCATCATTATTATTATTTTATTATTACCAAAATAATAAACATTTAGAGAAGGGATTTCAATGATCCTGTGTGTGTGTGTGTGTGTGTGTGTTGCACATTTGTAAAGGTGGATTCTGCTGTGCTTGGGTGTGTGGATGTCAGAGGTCACGACTGGGTACCTCGCTCTATTTTCTGTCTTTATTCTTTTGAGGCAGGGTCTGTCACTGAGCCTGGCGCTTTCTCTTTCAGCTAGACTGGCTGGCAGTTGAGCCCCACTCCCCCACCCAAGGGCTGAGGTTACAGTTGGCTTCCTTGGTTAAACCAGGGGTTAAATTCATTCTGTGCAGCAAGCCCTCCACTTTGAGGTGTCTTTTTTAGCCTCTATAACAAGCCTTGGAGTATTTTAGTTTTATTATGTTTTCTTTTCGAAGACTGACTTGGAACTTGTGACAGTCGTGCCTCAGCCTCCCATGTCCTGGCGTTTCAGGTGTGAGGCACCACCAGGAACAGCGATACCTTTCTGTCTGTCAGAACTTAGTTTTCAGAGCTGGGGTGCTCTGACCCGTTGCAATGTCGTACACACATGGAGCAGGGATAAGAACCTATGGTCTGCAGGCTAAATTCAGTCCACTATGTATTCATTTTTACTCTTGTTGATGACAGGACCCAGAGTGCTCCCCAATGAACGTACTCCCTGGTGCTGCCTCCACTTTGTAATTCACTGTGTAGAACAGGCTGTCCTTGAACTCATGATCTTCTTGAGTTTGTCTCCTGGGTTCTGGAATTATAAGTGTGTGCTACCAAGTCTGGCACCAAATTTTCCTGACTCCTTCCCTCCCTTCTTCCTTCCTTCCTTCCTTCCTTCCTTCCTTCCTTCCTTCCTTCCTT